CAGCAGCTGTTCATTGTCCACATGTGGAGTTGTCCTACCTCTAGCCTAGAAGTTAGCATTTTCTTTTAGGCATCTGAGAGGGGTCACATAAAAACTAATAAATGGTAGAGATTGTTTCCCTAGAAATATTTCCACACACAAGAAAATATAGATATTAATATAAAACATCAATGTGCACCCATATCCTCTGAGATCTTACAAACCTGGGTTTTTAAATCGTAGTAAGAGACAATGCTGAGAGAAGATGTGTGAATAATCATTTCACCACCATACAATGCCACTCCAATAACCTAGAATATCAACCGAGATAGACAAACAGTGTAATAACTTACTTTCCAGGGAAGGGTGGAAAGATATTATTTATTAGTTCATTCAGACACTCTGAGTGCCTCCCAGGTACCAGATAAAGCTCTTGTCTTGAATCACTGCTCTAAGAATTAAAATTTGTCATTATTTTCCCACCCTTCACACTCAGCACTTGAACCCTCTTCCTACATCAGAATTCCACACTGTCAATAAAAGGAGTCAAACTCTGTAACATACTTGAAGAGTTTTATTCTGAGACATATATGAGTGACCACAGCCCATGACACAGTCCTCAGGAAACCCTGAGAACATATATTCAAGGTAGTTGGGGTGCAGGTTGGTTTTATACATTTTAGGAAGATATGAGACATTCAATCAAATACATTTAAGATGTACATTGGTTCAGTCCAGAAAGGCCGAACACTCTGAAGCAAGTGGGGGTGGGGTTAGTGCTTCTAGGTTATAGGTAGATTTTTAAATGTTCTGATTGGCAAATGATTCAGTTACTATCAATAAAAAGGAATGTCTGGGTTATGATAAGACGTTGTGGAGACTAAAATTTTATCATGCAGATGAAGCCTCCAGGTGGCAGGCTTCAGAGAGAAAAGATTGGAAATGTTTCTGATCAGACTTAAGGTCTGTGTTGATGGTAAATGCTGGTCAGCTTTTCCTAAATTCTAAAGCGCATAATGAGACATGTTCAACACCTGCTTCCCATGGTGGCCTGAGCCAGTCTTCCTTGTGAACTGTTGAGTGCCCTGGCTGAGGAGAGTGTCCATTAAGATGGTTGGGAGGGGTGGCTTTGAAGTTTATTTTTGGTTTACAACATGTAAAGTGTGTGTGTGTGTGTGTGTGTGTGTGTGTGTGTGTGTGTGGTGGAGTCTTGCTCCCAGCCTGGAGTGCAATGGTGCAATCTCAGCTCACTGCAATCTCCACCTTCCAGGTTGAAGTAATTCTCCTGCCTCACCCTCCCGAGTAGCTGGGATTAGAGGTATGCACCACCGTGCCTGGCTAATTTTGTATTATTAGTAGTGATGGGGTTTCACTATGTTGGTTAGACTGGTCTCAGACTCCTGACCTCAGGTGATCCACCCAGCTCGGCCTCCCAAAGTACTGGGAATACAGGTGTGAGCCACCATGCCTCTCCTACAACATGTAAAGTTTTGAGAGGAGACAGAAGTCACCTCCCTTCCTAGAAGAGCACAACATGCCAGTCACCACTGCAGTTGATCATGGACATGAGTCTTAGGCTGCACCAGGCAGATAAGCACTTGCTGAAGCAGCATCTTTCTCTCCAGTAAATGCTCAGGGTTCAGTGTCCTGCACCAAGAAGATTAAGGACATTGACACGTGAGGAGTGAGTTTAGGAGGAGCAGAAGTTTAATAGGCAAAAGAGAGACAAAGTGAAACAGCTTTCTCTCTTACGAGACAGAGGGGCTCCTAAAGAGGAAATCCGGCCTGGAATGGGAGTGCATCTGATTGTATAGGCAGGCTTGAGGAGATGGTGTCTGATTTATGTAGGGCTCACAGGTTGGTTGGGCCAGGTGTGATATTTACAGTTTGTGGGGAAGGCTGTTCATCCCACCCTAATCCTATTATGCAAATGGGCTTTCCACTTGGCTGGTCCCATGTTGTCTGCTGTTTACTGTACACATGGCTGGTAAAAAGGAAGATGGAGCCACCATGGTGAACATGCCTAGTCCCAGGTGTCCTTTTTCTATTGGCAAAGCTGCCGCATTCACCTGTGAGAGCTCCCATCTGGCTTGTCTGTGTCTGGAGCTTGATTTTACAGACTGATCCTTGTTAGAAAAGAAAATTATTTGGGGATGCTTTTCATTAAAAGGAAAACCTTGCTGAGGGCTTCCATACCCTTGCTCTCTGCCTAAATAATTTCTTCTTAACTCGTATATCACTGCCAGAATCTGAGCCAGAATGAGGCGACACAGAGAGGCTGGGACTGTGCAGAATGCATTTTGGTAAAGATGGCTGGGTGGCAGTGGTGATGTCCAGTTTCCAGGTGCAGCAGTGACATCTGTCCTAGCCTCAGGGTTCAGTGTCCAGCACCAGGGTGTCAGAAGTGTGAGCAGTGGCGTCTGTGCTCAGCAGCAGGGACAGCTGTTCCTAGGAGGGACCTCATCCCAGGTGGGCTGTGGATTTTGTTCCTGGTTGTGTAATTTCCATCCTGGTTCTGTGGCCTCCCCCACAATAAAATTAGCCCCAATGCAATGTATCACTACTTTATGTGTAAATTAGAGAAATTTGTTTTCCATAGTTTGCTCCAAGAAGTGAGTGAGAAATCAGTGTGTTGGGCAGTGTCAGAGAGCAGCATTCAGAGGTGTTCTTTGTGTGAGAGCCACATCCTATTGTCTACCTGGCCTCTGCCCCATCATGGAGAGATCAACAGGGAATATCACATCACATAACTGATGATGTACATCCTCCCTTTTCTTTCTGAGAGAAATATTTTCTTTTACACAAGGTTTGGAAACCCACCCCATCCACCCACCCTGGGCACTCTGATCTCTGATCTCAGTGGTTCCCAATCTGGCTCCCAACAGCAAGCGCAGGGGCGTAGAAAATACTTAGGCCACTTCCCAGAATACCTGTCTCAGAGTATTATACACAAGACCAAGACATCACTTATATAACAAGCACTATAGGCAGGCTGATGCTCAGACATGTGGGATCCTGGTGTTCTTGATCTGGAGACCAGAAACATAGTCTCCAGTCTCGTCATAAATCCAGAATCTATTGCTCAACCTGGACTTCTTGGATCTGAGAACCACATCCAGGTGATCCCTGTGCACATGGGAGTTCCTTGTCTAAGTGTCCTCTAGGTGCGGGGTCAGAACTGTGCAGTCTGCTCTGGGTGTGATCTGATCAGATCCCTTAGAACTGGAGGTCCAGGATTCAGTTCTTGCACTCATTATCTTCTAAAGCCAGTCACTTCCTTGGTGCCCCCATCCATGCTTGAGGATTTAAGTAGTATTGTTTATATGGTGTGACCTCCTATGTCTCCAGCCCAGTATATTTCTCATTTCCCCTGAACTCTGGAGTTGTCTGTCCAACTGTCATCCCTGCTCGTTAGGCTACATTCCTAGTAGACATCTCCTCCACTGAGTGCCTGGGATGCCCCTTCCTCAGTATGCTCCTGCCACAGTCTCCCCATTTCCACAGCAGCTCTACCCTTCCTTCTACTCACTCATTTTACAACTATGGGTGTCCTTGATTCGACCACAGATACAATCCATGGCAAATGCTGTGAGTCCATCTTCAAATGCATCCAGAATCCCCTCAAGTCTCACGATATCCCCTGCTCACACCCCAGTCAAGGTAATGACATCTCCAGCCTGGACTACTGCACTCGCTTCCCACTGTTTTCCCTTCTGCCTCCCATGTCCCTCGTCTCTCAATTCTGTTCTCAGCACAGCAGTGAGAGATCCTTTTAAAAGAGAAGTTGTACCACGTCTCTCTTCTGCTCAAAACTGTCTGCTACCTCCCCATCTTACTCAGAGTAAGGGTCAGATGCTTCCCCACACCCTCCAGGCCCATCTGCCCTGGCCGTATCTTTGACCTCACCTCAGATCTCTCTCTCCAGCCCTCCTGGGCTCCTTCTTCTCCTGGGAACACAGACACCTTCCTGCCCTAGTGCATTTGCACTGGAGGTTCCCCCGCCTGGAAAGAACTTCCCCAGACATCCTCGTGGACAACTCCTCATGTCCCTCAACTGTTTCCTCAAAGGTCACCTTTGCGACGTGGCGCACACTGACTATCCCAACACAACAGCCACCTTCCCTGTCCCCACTGCCCACACCCCGGATCACCTGCCTCAGAGCAAGTCCCACCTTCCAGCACTTTCCTTCCTTGCTCTGGTGATAGTGTATCTATCGTCTGCCTCTTCCCGCTGGAACACATGCTCCACAAGGTTAGAGATTTTTCTGATTTTACTTCAGTGACGTTCTGCAGATGCAGAACCACTCTGTCCTGTGTCTGGCCGACAACGAAGGTCACCGTAGAGCATCTCCTATTCTAAAGGCAGTATCCTTATTAACATAGACTCAGGCCAAGTGCTGTTTCTTGGCAGCTACAGCACAAGGGCCCCTCACACTGACATCGAGGCTGCCTGTGCTTTTCTCAGCAGGGCTGCTAGTGTGTCCTCCCTCCCTCATCCCTCCTCCCACACCAACTCCCAACCCACACACACCCCTGCACACTGCAGCACACAATCAGTCTTCTTTCTTCAGGAAAGAATAGTCCTTGATGATGGGTCCAATTTCACAAACAAATGTCAGTCTAAATTAGACTCTGCTTTATAGATTCATGAGTTGGGATTGGAGGCAGCACCAAGATCACTAGAACCAGGGCAGGGAGAGAGGGCAGGAGAGCAGAGCAGAAGAGGAGCCCTAGAAGGATGGCAGGAGGTGAATGGGTCTGAAAATTTGTCTCAGAAATGCAGAGACTCCCGTGTTTAGGGGCCACCCTGCTCAATGTGTGAGCCTCTGTGGTCACAGCTCCAGTGGGACCAGTTTCCACTGAAGGAACAAGGACAATGGAGCAGTAAAGCTGACCCAGCTGAGGACTGACCACATAAAGCCCATGATGGACTCAGCAGGGCACAGGCCCCGTCCACACTCGGCTCCTCACAGCCTTCTCCATCCCCACCTGCAACAGACTCAGCACAGAAAACATGTGGATTCTGGAAGGTTCTCGGGTCTTTATTTCCTCTCTCAAATTTTAGGAATTGACTTATTTAATTAACCCATCAACCTCTCATGGAAAATATTTGAGAAAACACATTTATATTCAGATTTTTATTTTCCATAGGGAAGTAGGCGGTTGCAGCACAGTGCACCATGAAATTGAGACAGAGATGGAGACACCCAGCCCCACCGCTCTAGAACAGGAAAGATGACTGGGGAGGGAACACAGGTCAGCGTGGGGACAGGGGTCACGGTGGACACAGGGTGGGCTGTCTCTCCACCTCCTCACATTATGCTAACAGGGACACAGACACATTCAGATGCCTTTGCAGAAAGAGATGCCAGAGGCTCTTGAAGTCACAAACGGGAGGCGTGAAGAAATCCTGCATCTCAGTCCCACACAAGGCAGCTGTCTCAGACTACAGAAAACAACAGTCATGAACAAATTCAGGTCAGTCATGGTAAGTGATGAGACTCTGGACAGCCCACCACACACTCGAAACATCCCAATCAAAGAATCCACATTACCCAGTCCTGTCCCATCTGCCCCTACTCCCGCCCACTAGAGACCCCCAGGGTCTCACCTTTACAAACTGTGAGAGATACATCAGAGCCCCGGGCACTGTCACTGCCTAGGGTGGAACAAAAACAGGACCTGATCAGAGTCCGCAGGAGATGTGGGACAGGAGGAATTATGGGGTGGGTGAGCTCCTCCACACTCCCGCCCCCACCACTTACACGTAGCCTGAGAGTAGCTCCCTTGTTTTCCACCTGAGGGAAGAAAATGTCCTCTGAAGGGCAGGAAGAAGGCAGGGCCATGAGACTTTAGAGGAACCTCTTAGTCCTGAACCCAAGAGAAGTTTCTAGAATCATGATTATACACCCAGGGCAGGATCAGAAAACACAAGGAAAGCAGGTGTGGGTCCTAGACCAACCGCCCTCCTAAGGTCTGTCCTTAGCAGGGACCTTCTCCTGACTTGTGACTGCTGGAATCAGGACCCCAACACCACAATCGTCAAGGTGATACATCTGTCGTTCATTGTCATATGTGCTTCACAAAAGAGTAAGTGCTGGCACACAGAGCCCCAGGCTGGGTCGGCCCAAGTGTGGATGGTGCTTCCCAGTAATGAGGCAGAGAACACTTCCACCTGGGGCTTGAAATACCCAGTGTGACAAGAAAACCCAGACCCCACCCCTCACCCTTTCTCTACCTGAGCTCTTTCTCTTCCACATCGCAGCAGAGACCACAGCTCCAGTGACCACAGCTGCTAGGACAACCAGGCCAGCAACAATGCTCACAATGGGGATGGTGGGCTGGGAAGGCGGCTCTGGGAAAGGAGGGGAAGATGAGGGGCCCTGACCCCAGACCTCAGCCCTGACCCTTCTGAAGGCTCCAGAAGGGCTCCTGCTTTCCCTGAGAAGAGATGTGACCCCCCCAATTCCATCCCTACCTATCCCCTTCCTTACCCCATCTCAGGGTGAGGGGCTCTGGCAGCCCCTCGTGCTGCACATGGCATGTGTATCTCTGCTCTTCTCCAGAAGGCACCACCATAGCCGCCCACTTCTGGAAGGTCCCATCCCCTGCTGGCCTGGTCTCCACAAGCTCTGTGTCCTGAGTTTGGTCCTCCCCATCCCGCTGCCAGGTCAGTGTGATCTCCGCAGGGTAGAAGCCCAGGGCCCAGCACCTCAGGGTGGCCTCATGGTCATTGATGGGGTGGTGGGTCACACGTGTCTTTGGGGGTTCTGATGGGAAGAATCAGAAAATTTAGGCAATTTGCATCTCTCATGGGACACCCCAGCATCATCCATGGGACCATCCTGAGAATGGAGAGGACACCTGAGGTGGGGAAGGGAGCACAGAACTCAGACACCAGCCTGGACACAGGCACCTGCGGTAATCTATTCTTTGAAAAGTTCTAGTCTCTGAGTTCTAGTCTCTGTAAGAACAGGGATTTCTGGTCCTGACCTGACTGGAGGCTGAGGGACTGAGAAAAGCTGGAATCTGACCTTCAGACACATTGAGTGTGAAGCAGAGAACAAGGCCTGAGAGAAAAGTCACGGCGCCCAAGGCGGCTGCAGGGGCCAAAGGGGACCCCTGATCAGTATTCCAGGGACCATCTTCCCCTCCATTTCCTCAGAGACGTCATCCCTTAATTGTCCTAGAGAGCAGAGGGGCCCTCAGAGGAAACTCAGGAAAACCCGCCATTCTCCATTCAAGGGAGGGCGATATTCTAGCGCGGATCCCATTTCCTCCCCTCCTCGTGGGAGGCCATCCCGAGAGATCTATAGGAGATGGGGACGGCTTCCCACTGCCCCTGGTACCTGCGCGCTCCAGCGTCTCTTTCCCGTTCTCCAAGAATCTTTTGAGCATCCCCACGCACTCCCCCTCCAGCTGTGCCCTCAACCGCTCTGCATATTTCTCAGCCTCCAACTTGCGCTGGGTGACCTGAGCTGCCGTGTCCGCGGCTGTCCAGGAGCGCAGGTCCTCGTTCAGGGCGACGTGATCCTTGCCGTCGTAGGCTATGCGGCAGTATCCGCGGAGTAGGCGCCCATCTGGCCCCAGGTCGCAGCCAAACAACACCTGGAGGGTGTGAGACCCTGGCCCCGCCGTTGCGGTCAGCCCCGCCCAATTTTTGGGCCTAAACTGAACATGAAACTGGGTAAAGGCGCCTTGGGGCCCTCTCAGGTCCAGGATACGACCGGGTTCTGAGCCTCGGGGTGGATCTTGGGCCCAGAGACTCGGTGGGACCCGGGCCGTCCGTGGAGGATGAGGAGGGGTCTTTACCTGCGCCCCGAGCCAGGGTCACTCACCGGCCTCGCTCTGGTTGTAGTGGCCGCGTATGATCTGCAGGCTCACTCGGCAAGCCTGTGCGCAGGCCTCTGTTCTCCGTGTCAGCAGGTCCCAATACTCCGGTCCCTCCTGCTCCGCCCACGGCGCCCGCGGCTCCATCCGCGGAATCGCGGCGTCGCTGTCGAACCGCATGAACTGCGTGTCGTCCACATAACCTACGGCGATGTGCCGGGGCTCCCCGCGGCCGGGCCGGGACACGGTGGTGAGGAAACGGCTGAAGGAGTGGGAGCCTGGGGACGAGGAGGGGCTGAGACCGCCGACCCTCCTCTCGGGGCTGCTCCCCGGGTCCTGCGCCCCCGCGGGACGGTCCCCTCGCTCCTCCCCGCAGAGGCTGTTTACCTCCCGACCCCTAACTCACTCGCCGAGGTCTTGGTCAGGGCCAGGGCCCCCGAGAGCAGCAGGAGGATTCGGGGCGCCATGACCCCAGCTTCGGCGTCTGGGGAGAATCTGACTCCAGGTAGGTGACTGGGGGCTTCAGAACCCGGGATCGCGGAGACGCCGATTGGCTTATCTAGAAACACGGCACCCAATGGGAGCGGGAACTGAGGAGGCCTCATGAGTATCCAGGAAGAAGGACTTGACAGGTTGGGAGAAGTGAAACTTAGGGGAGTGGGGAATCCTCAGCCCTGCATCTTCTCAATATAGACTTGGCCTGAGACCCTGAGAGCCACGCCTGGGACCTGAAACTTTGTCCCTCAGACCCTCCTGTTCCCTCAGTTCCCATTGCCCACTCAAATTGTGGCACTGTAGAGAACAGTTCCTTTTCCCTAAAAACTTTATGTTCCTTTCTATTTAATCCTTGCCTCTCACCCTCACCCCCTTCCCTTTACTCAACAACTGCCCTGCTTTCTGTGACTGCAAGAGTGAAATTTCTAGATTTTCATGGACATACAATCATGTGCAGTCCTTTGTTTGGTCTCCCTTAGCGTAACAATGTTTGAGATGTTGACATTCATTCCTTTTTTGTTGCTGAGCAGCTGCCGAGTATTGCTGGAATCCCAGTTTGCTCATTGGTTTCTCTGTTCTCCAACTGATAGACATGGGGATTACTCCAGTTAGGGTGTGTTATTAATGAAGCCACTATAAATTACCGCTCACAAGTGTGGCCTTACATTTTTACTACTTTTGGATAAATACATATTTGTGGAGTTGCTGGGTCATGTGGTAACAGATGAGTAGCTGTATAAGAAATTGCCAAACCACTTTACAAATTGGCTGCAACATCTTTTGCATTTGCACCAGCAATATCAGACCTTCCTATTTTTTCCATATTCTTGCCAGTATTTAGACTTATCATGTGTCTTTTTAACTTTGCCTATTCTAGGTGATGTGTGGTGGTTTCTCATTGTGGTTTTAACTTGCACTTCTTTGATGACTAGCATTGTTTGCTTCCTTTTCATGTCATCTACGTGACTTATTACATATATTTTATGAACTCTTTGGCGAATTCAATGATTAATTCAGAGATTTTTTCCCGAATTCCCTAGTGTTTTTTACATATGCAATGAAGCTGGTGACAAAGAAAACATTTATTTCTTCATTTTCTATCTACCAATCTTTTTTCTTTTAAAATTATTTGTATTTAATAGAGATGAGGTCTCACTATCAGGCTGGTCTCAAACTCCTGAACTCAAGTGATCACCTCCCAAAATGCAGGGATTACAGTTGCGAGCCACCATGCCTGGTCCTTCTATTGGTGTTTTATTTCATTTTCTTGCCATGTTGCACTAGTTAGGATGCCTGTTAGGTGTTTAAACAAGAATGATGAGAGCTCACATATTTGTTTACAAGGAACTCAAACAAATTTACAAGAAAAAACCCAGCCCCATTAAAAAGTGGGCAGAGTATATGAACAGACCCTTCTCAGAAGACATTTACATGGCCAGGAAACAGATGCAAAAAAGCTCAATATCACTGATTATTAGAGAAAGGCAAATCAAAACCACAATGACATATCATTTCTCACCAGTCAGAATGGCAGTTATTAAAAAGTCAAGAAAAAAACAGATGCTGGCAAGGCTGTGGAGCAATAGCAACACTTTTACACTATTGATGGTAAACTAGTTCAACCAGTGTGGAAGACAGTGTGGCCATTCCTCAAAGATCTAGGATCAGAAATACTATTTGACTCATCAGTAATCCTATTACTGGGCATATATCCAAAGGAATATAAATCATTCTACTATAAAGACACATGCACACGTGTTTACAGCAGTACTATTTATAATAGCAAAGACAGGAAGCCAAACCAAATGCCCATCAATGACAGATTGGATAAAGAAAATGTGGTACATATACACTATGGGATACTACACAGCTATGAAAAGGAATGAGTTCATGTCCTTTTCAGGGACATGGATGAAGCTGCAAGCCATCATACTCAGCAAACTAACATGGGAACAGAAAACCAAACACTGCATGTTCTCACTCCTAAGTGGGAGCTAAACAATGAGAAAACGTGGACACAGGGAGGGGGACATCACACACCAGGGCCTGTTGGGGAGTTGGGATAGAGGGGAAGAAACTTAGAGGACAGACAAGTCAATAGGTGCAGCAAATCATCATGGCAGACTATGTAACAAGCCTGAAGGTTCTGCACATGCCTGAAACTTAAAGTAAAATAAAATAAATTAAATAAAAAAATAAAGTGCATGTCTTACATGTACACATATGTTAACTGCAGCACTATTCACAATAGCAAAGACTTGGTATCAACCTAAATATTCATCAATAATAGACTACATAAAGAAAATGTGGCCACCTGTAATCCCAAAACTTTGGGATGCCAAAGGGGGCAGATCATGAGGTCAAGTGATGGAGACCACCCTGGCCAACATAATGAAACCCTGTCTCTACTAACAATACAAAAATTAGCTGGGTGTGGTGGCATGTGCCTCTAGTCCCAGCTACTCAGGAGGCTGAGTCAAGAGAATTGCTTGAATTCTTCAGGTGGAAGTTACAGTGAGCTGAGATCATGCCACTGCACTCCAGCCTGGTGACAAAGCAAGAATCCATCTAAAAAAAGAAGTGGGAAATATACACCACAGAATACTATGCAGCCATTAAAAAGAATGAGATCATGTCCTTTGCAGGAATATTAATGGAGTTGGAAGCCATTATCCTTAGCAAACTAATATAGGAACAGAAAACCAAATACCATATGTTCTCACTTATTAGTGAAAGCTAAATGATGAGAAAACATGAACAAGTAGAGGAGAACAACACACACTGGGGTCTACTTGAGGGTGGAAGGTGAGAGGAGGAAGAGCATCAGAAAACATAGCTAATGGGTACTAAGGCTTATCACTAGGGTGGGTACTAATGGGTACAGAAATAATCTATACAACAAAACCCCATGACACAAGTTTACCTATATAACAAACCTGCACATGTACCCCTTAACTAAAAATAAAAGTTAAAAAATGAAAAAGAAAGTGCATCTCTGGAAACTGCATACAATTTGGTTCTGTGGTTTTTTTAAAACCAAGTCACACAATTGCTGCTCTTCATTGGAGTGTTGATTCATGTAGGTTTCTGTCATTATTGATGTGATATCATGTTATTTTCCCAGTTTTGGTTTCTCTGTTTCTCCTGTCCTGACCAACAATTTCTTATTAGAAACCATACAAATAAAAGAAAGTAGAAAAACGTTTTAAAATTGCTGCAAGAATAAAATGTCAACTGAGAATTCTATATCCAGCACAGATATCCTTCAAAGAAAGGCAAAATTAGGAGATATTTCAGGTAAAAGAAAATTGAGAGAATTTGTCACCAGCATCTGCACAAAAACAATTGGTAAATAAAATTCCTCAGGCTAGAGGCAAATGATACCAGGTGGAAAATGAGATTATCAGAAAAGATGAAGATGACCAAAAATGGTAAATATTGAGCTAAGTGCGAAAGGCTATCTTGCTCCCCTCATTTACTCTTATTTTATATACATCAAATTGTTTAAAGATAAGAAAAAGTAAAAAGTTGTTTTTTGTGGTGCTTATAACCTATATAGGATATATTACATATAATATCCATATCATAAGAGGTAAATATTTTATAGAAGATAAATGGTTGCAAGTTTTCTATATATATATATGGGTACTAGTACATTATTAACTGAAAATGAACTGTGAAACATTAAGAATGAGTTAAATTTTGAAGGAAATTGAGACACCAAAAAAAAAAAAAAAAACATTCAAAAGATCAACAAATCTTGGAGATGGTTTTTTTGAAAAAAAAAAAAAAAAAAAAAAATCTTGACCAGTCTTGAGTCTCATCATCCTACGATTTCAGAACTATTATGAATACAAAGGTAATCAAAAAACAGTCCTGCCCAGAAAGAGGAGTTATCCCTAAATATGGTTGCCCTGGGACAGCTGGCCCTCCCTGCTGGACCTCTTCCACGTGGGAGCTTTCTGCAGTGACTCTGTTGCCTTGCTATTCCACTCTATCCAGTTTTCTGACCCAAGAGACAAGGGGTGTCTGCTGCTGTGTCCACACTTGGAGGAGGAAATCTTGATGGTGTCAGTACAGTACGAGCCAGGATGACCGCTCATGCCTGAAATCCCAGCAATTCAGGACACTAAGGCAAAAGATCGCTTAAGATTAAGAGTTGGAGACCAGCGTGGACAACATGTGAGACCTTCGTCTCTAAAAAATAAAATAAAAATAAATACCCTTAGCTGGGCATGGTGGTGGGCACTTATATTTCCAGGTATTGGGGACACTGAGGTGGGAAGATCCCTTGAGCTCATGAATTCAAGGCTGTAGTGAGCTATGATTGTACCACTGGACTCCAGTCCAGTCACAGAGAGACAATCTTGACTCTAAAAAATACATTGTAAACCTTTGCTCAATATGGGTTATTTTATTTTTTATTGTTCAATGTATATTTTTATTATATTTTACTGGCAGCACAATAAATCAGGACATGCTGAAACTAGAAATCACATCCACTTTCCAGTGTTAAAAAGCCTAGACCAGGAAGGTGAGGAAACAGTCCTGATTAGCATTGAGGATTCAAGAAGAACGAGATGGGCTGGGCAGGAAGCTTTTTACTCCCAACCTGGAGAGGATGAGCAATGACACCCCTCTCTCCACCTTAAAGCTCATCCTGGACATTCACTTCCGGGGAGAAGCAGCAGCAACAGCGCCCCCTGCTGGTTCATTCGCTTCCTTTTGCAGATTGCACAGGGCCCTGAGATCCACCTCTTTTGCACTTGGGATTTCCTCACTGGACGCATGGTTGAATCAATTTTCCTGTAAAACAAAAGAAGCGTGAGGTTGCCGGGGGAGGATGGTGTCATCGCCATCTTTGGCAAGATCCATGTCATGTGTTCAGGGGAAGGGACAGGCCTTACTTCCCATGCAGAGAGGAGGCTCTGGCCACGAAGGCACCTATAGAGAGGTGAGGACCAGCTCCTTCTCCATTGATGGCCAGGAGCCTGAAGACGTGGGGAAGACTTCCCCTCAGCTGTGTCCTATCAGATTCTTCCAAAGTCAAGGAGTAAACCTGTATATTGCCTCTGGTGATGTGAGCTGCATGCACACTTAGAAGTGAGGTCACCCTACTGGGGGT